AGTGCTTTTAGCTGCTGGTTGGCCTTTTAGTGAAGTATTTTACATGGAATTGCAATTTTTACCACTTTCAGTTAGGCAGTGATTATGTTTATGCCTCCACCTTGTTGGCAAAAAAAAAAAAAAAAAAGATAAATAAATTGACATACTATTTGTTGAGCTCACTGAGTCATCCTTTGTAAGTCAAATGATGATGTAATTTTTAAATCCACACTGGTTTTTTCATATTAAGTTAATGATAAATTGCAACATAGCAAAACCTTATATAATTGGCCACAGAAGTGATCTTTGAATTGGCAAATGTGGCAGTGTTACCTTTAGTTTGAGCACATTACCTTCAGTCACACCTGTACGACTGCCATTCTTTCCTAACTTACCATCTGTCTTGATCCAATTTATTTTTGATTTCTTCACGCACCAGTGACTGTTTTGCTATTTTTTTTTAGTTTGTTTAGGATCCAGGTGGATTAGCAAGCTGTATTTGTTCTGTTGTCTCGTATTTTTACTGCTAAATGGCATATACGGTGGTTGCTCATTACATTTGCAGAAAATGATGTATAAATTTCCATAAAACAAGTAATACTTAAAAAAATTTGGTTCAGATATTTTGAAAAGATGATTTGCTATGTTTGAGAAAGTAAATTATTGTGAGTATCTGAAATTTGAAATGATTTATCTTGAAAAATTCAAATAATAGAGCTAGTTAAGCATTACTACAGCAAGTTTGGCATTTGAAAATTTGAAGCAACTACCATATGCTGTGGTATATGGATGATGGACTGGTAAGGCTGGTGGTAATTTTAGATTGTGACTTTGATGTTGGGTTTGTAACATTGGTTTAAACAGTTATGCAAACCAGACATAAAAATATGTTTAAAAGAAATCCTTTTAGCATATTTCTCTCTTGTATGCAGCAAAACACACCCCATTATATATTACATTGAAATAAAGACTATTTTACCATTAGCTGTTCCCTTCGTTCAGAAACCATAAATTACTATTTTAACATTCAATGTAGCCAATTAAGGAGAATTAGCTTTCTTCATTGATCCAGTATATTTTTTTAAATTAGAGTCCATCTGCAGTGGAGAGAATGATATATACCCATTTTGATGTCATTAAGAAAGCATTACTGCATTCTAAATGGTAATGGGTTCTTGATATAGTGGTTGATTTTCCTAACACTACATGTAACCTCACAAACATTTTGGTCCATTTCTGTGTCATCCGGGTTAACAGATGACTGTCCCAGTGAAAATTGAAACACTTAAAAGGGAAATTACAATTGGGATAGACTGTGTTCTAATGTGCGTGTGCGTTTTTTTTTTTTTTTTTTTTTTTTTTTTTTTTAGTGAAATAAGGATATATGGTGCACTTTTTGACACATCCTAAATAACTATAACCCTCAGTAGATGGGTACATAGTGATACGTGTATATATCATGCAGAGCTGTGACAGCAGCATTGGTACCATGCAGGACACAATGTCACCATAAATTCTACAGTTAGTGTACTTGTCTCCAATGCGCCATGAAAGGGCAAGTGTCCAAGTTTGAAATTAAAACAGTTTTTTTGGCCAGACGTGTGAAAAAGAGCTTTTGTATAGGGGAGACGGTAGAATTTGAAAGTCAAAATATCTAACTAAAATGCCACTTTGTCAGAGAATGGTATAAAAGAAAGTTGTTTGAGTTGAAGTGGGGATATAAAAGGGGTTGTACACAAAATCAGAGGATCTCTTTTCTTTTCAACATTCCTTAGCTACAATTTAATCGAACAATTAAGTGAATTTTTAATGAACTTTTGATAAATGGTAATAAGTAAAAATCTTTAGTGGAGTCCAACTATTATGGTTTGTTATATAACTTACAGAACAGGTCTATAAATTTCACTAGTTTCCCCTTTAAATATATACCTCTGTATTTGATGAGAACATTTTGATCCAACTGACTTAAACAGTTTTTCCACTGAATGCTAAATAAAGATAAAAATAAAATGGATGATTAAAGGGTTTCTTTGGATCAAAGATAGGATACTTGGCAATGTTTTTGATTCCATCCATTCTTTTTTCCCCGAAGTCGGTTTCACTGAGGCATGGTAAGTTTTAATACTTCTCTTACTAATGAAACTGCTACTTAAACTTTATCAATCACTTTGATTTAAGGGTGAGATGTATAAATGGATGCTGATTTTGGCTGATATTGCCGAATCCATGTTTATTGTATGCTTATACATCCCCATAAGATGTAAACAACAGAAAAGTAAATACGCCTCACAAATTTTGTATTTAGAGCAGCAGCATATCTAAATAATAATGATATATTTTGAATTTATTTAACATTTCTGTTGTTAAGTTCATGTCTGATGAAGTACTGTACAGAACAAACCTCACAGCTGGGCACCAGTTCTATTTGTTCAAAATTTTCTTTTTATATGAGAGTCTTTATTCCACATTAGTATGATTTTAAAAAAAGTTGTACATTATATACAGTTTTGGTATCATCTGGAAATTTGCCCAAATGAAACACCATTCTGGTCTCCTGGATGGCAATATCTGTGTTTTTTATTCATTGCACACGAGCGCTTTGATTTCTTTTGAAATATCTGTACTAGTATATAGCTTTGATATATCTGCACTGAACATGTCTTCTGCTTATTTAAACATTAGAAAGTACAAACATACAATACCCTGGGGAAAATTGTGAATTTTACAGAAACTGTATTTTTAAGTCATAATTTAGAACATTCCTACTAAGTGGTAGCAACAAAATTAAAAAGCAGGCTACTCTATAGTTTTATTTTATACAGTTAAATCACCACAAATGCTACATAGAAATATGATTGTTTTGTGATTATGAAATTATGTTTCTGAAAGTTTGATAATTTTTGCCCATTGAAAAGATCAAATCATAACTCTATTTGAGTATATTCATTAGACATTTAGTATATAAAAAATGCAGAAGAGAAGTGCAATAAGCATGTTTTCACATCTCTTGTCTCATAAGCTAAACAGGACATGCAGGAAGCCATTTCAACCTTGCATTTGACAGGGAAAAAAATCGATTTAAGTATTTTTCCAAGGTTGATTGCTACTTTGAGAAAATAGCCACAGTAAAAACAGACCTATTACCTTCCTGAACAGACTTTGGCACGAAAGATGCCCCCATCACCCATTTTGTGCCAGATTACCTTTTTAACTTTGTTCTTGAAATTGGATACCTGTAAAGTAACTATGAAAGCTGCTGTGTCATTACATCTAGGAGTCCTCCAGTGATAAATAGAAAACATGGAAAATTCCACCCATTGGTACAACACTGGCTGATCATTAGGACATGTTTCAGATGGGTGTGAATGCTGCATTGTTGGCATTAAGTGCTAATGAGAATGTGGAATGGAGACTATCGTGGATATAAAAAGATCATTTTGTATAAATGACACTGGCACAGTTCTTTGAGGTTTGGTAAGAAATATTACCTGCCGAAAATCATTTTTATACATTACTTTATCAGACCTGAAAATTAGAACAGAATTATTAAAGAAACTGAAAACATTTCGCTGTTATTTTGATATGATGATTTCATTCTAAATAAAACATTTATGGTGGGTATTAGTATTTCAACATCCCATGGGATGGATAAGCATGTGATAAACATGGATTTGGCAATATCAGTGGAAATCAGCATCCATTTATGCATCTCATTCTTACTTGGTAGTGATTGATAAGGTTTAAGTACCAGTTTCATTACCCAGAGAAGTATTGAGCCAATGTGTGTCCATTAGGAGAAGAAAAATCATGCCAATAATGAATTTAATACTGGTAGACTCGCTCCTTTGGGAGGAATCTTCCCATCGATTTGTAATCAAACTTGCTAGCCCACAAATAGTACCTAGATATACCAGTTCTATTTCGATCTTAAAATAGCTATTTGTATCTTATGATGGGTTCAGTTCAGGTCACAGGGACACAAAAAGCAGTTGATATGAAATGACACATTTTTACATATGTATATTGCCAAGGGCTTTGAAATAACTGGATTATATTTTACCAGTTGCACGAACTTAATATTTGTAGGTTTTTTAGTTCATATGCTATGTTATAATCTATATGGACACTGGGCTCAATGTATCTGTTAGGTGATGAATACTTAATAACTTGTCAGTGAGACATCTTATTGGAAATGGCAAATCTGGAACAAACGTCGATGAATAAGGCCCCATTCTCATAGACACCATCGATCTATGTGGTTCGACCCAACTCTGGGGAGATGCTCACTGATTGCAATTAGCTTTACTGAATGACACACCTAGCGTTTAGTAGAATACAAAAAAGCTGATGATTTTAAGAGTACATTGGAACAAGAGGAGGCACGTAATTCAGTTAAGCTGATTGCACTTAGCGAGATTCCCTGCAGGGTTGGATCGATCCACGTAGACCAGTGATGTCTATGGTAAAGAGGTCTTAGATATTAGATCTGGTGTAAATTTGAAAACAATATGTATGATAGCCTAAGATTCCAATCGTGCACAGAAAAAAGCTTTCGCACTCTGATACACGCAAGCATCTGCCATCATGAATTAAGAAAAATTGCTGAGGGTCCATACAGCTATCTTAGATATTTTTGTAAATGTTATCTTCATGATCAGGGTCTGTGTTTAAATTAATAGCTGTTACATAGATCATGCTTACTACATGGTGGTATATTGTAGAGATAATTGAAGGCATCATAAATCCTCTGCTCTGGTAGTTTTAAGTATTGATGGAGGCCAGCTCAAGGACATTAACTTAACTGATACACATATAATAGTATAGTTGTCAAAGGAGTTTTTTTTAGAATTTGGGATGTATCATGGGGTGAGGCTAATTTTCTTAATGCAGAAATGTAAATTTTAGCTTTGCATCATTCTGAACTAATTCTTATGGCATTGTGTTAAGTGACAAATGGTTCCCTACATGCCATTCCATGTGATCACTTAGTATTTTATTAAAATATTAAATCATTATTTCAGATGCCTCAAGAAAGTTGCTTGCCATGCCAAACTGTAGTCCATCTGCCATTGAACAGTTTCCTCGTGACATCTTCACATTGGACCAGAAAAAGTCGGGCGCTCTGGTCGTCCATATCCTGGTGGCCCTCTATATGTTCCTAGCTCTAGCTATTGTCTGTGATGATTACTTTGTGCCTTCTTTGGAGATGCTGTGTGAAGGTATGCTGAGGGTTTTTTTTTTTTTTGTTTAGGGAAAAATTAAATATTATATTTCATAATATTAAATTACCCATAAGAAAAAAGCCTGACTGTCGATTTCTTTCTCTCTCTTTTTTTCTCTCTCTCTCTCATGCAGTCTATTTAAACAGTTATACATGATGTCATCCATAGCTACAAACTGGATAAAAAATTGCCTAATGCCTTATCCCGATGTAAGGTTATTGAGTTATATTCATTCCTATGCTTCAGTACATGCTGGTAATGTGTTCCATATTCTAGTCTCATCAGTGATGATTTCACATAAAAACCTAATAAGACTGCAGTACTATAGCAGCCATCATTAAAGCCAACATTACCGAAATTTATCAATTCTCTTAACATTAAAACTCTCCATACTAGATATAGCTGTAACAGTATCTTTTATGTCTAATTATACATTTATCTGCCTGTCTTTTTAAATTATTTATTATATCTCTTTATCTATTTATTATATCTCTTTTGCCTCTTTCAGCACTAAATCTCCAATCAGACATAGCGGGGGCAACTTTTATGGCAGCAGGGAGTTCAGCTCCAGAACTGGCAGCATCTGTGATAGGGGTTTTTATAGCTAAAGTATGTAGAACCAATTGATTTTAATTATTTGAAACTTTCGCTAGAAACACAGAAATAATGCATGCACATTAATTAAAACAGCAATAACAGCGTACACCCTACATAAAGGCTTCGTTCACATGCAATGTCTATTTTCTAAATTCTATTTTCTATTCGCGCTATCTTATGATCACGGTCTGTGCACTGAATATCCCGCTGTGTAATTACTGGCAGCGCGAGCCAGTTACTTATAGTAACTTATAGTAACTTTAGTAACTGGCTCGCGCTGCCAGTAATTACGCGGCGGGAAATTCAGTGCACAGACCGTGATCATAAGACATGCCGCAAATAGAAAATAGAATTTAGAAAATAGACATTGCATGTGAACGAAGCCAAAGTCTTCTACTGGTCACTGATGTTTTACTTGACCAGTGATGACCAAACAGGGGACATTATATCACTAGTCAGGTGAAGCAAAAATGACCAGTGGATGGAAAGGTGTTGGTGCAATATTAGCAGACATTGTCAATCCAATGATGGAATCAGCTTTTAGAAAATAAAACATATAACCTCCATATGCTTATGTAGTTTGTGTGGGCACCTTATTTGTTGAACATGAATAATTCTTTCCGGAGTCTGCGTGTGTGTATGTGTTTTTGTTATGATGGCTTGCATTTCAAGATTGCAAATTAGAATACTCTGAAGCAGTAAATTATAAAGAGAACACAATGTGGGTGGTTGTATGAAATATTGGAGGGAAAAGGATGACTGTTATTGAGAACTAGTTTCTGTTTTTTGCTCATGCTGTACCATTTTAAGCAGTAGTTTAACTTGAACATGTGGGTTTTTCCCTTTAAGTGTACTTAACTAAATTGATGTGCTTTAATGGGTGTCTCCTGCTGTTTCAGTTTTAAACCATCCTCAGTGGAACGCCGTAGCTTCTAATTGCTCTTGCTTGGCATGCTGTGCGACTAATGTGTTAACTAAAGAACATACATACAACATGCTGTTTCAACAAAGTAGACTTCATTTTATCACCATGATGACAGGATTTGCAATGTTGATTTATGTTTGAATACAACTCTAGCTAGTGTTATTTCCTCCTTATCCTTCATTTATTGCAGCCCCATTTTTTTATCTTCCATAATAGAAATTATTCAGAATAAGGGAACACTGCCAGAGCACAGACTGCCAGCAAAGGGAAAAATTACTGAAAGGCATATTAGAAACAATACAAATTCCTTTTAATATTAGATGCAGTGGAAATTGTGATTGCTTCATTCTTTCCCGAAAACCTGTCGAGCCTTAACAACTTTTAGAACAGAGATTTCTTGTCCATTAGCAACAGTCCAACCAATGCAAATAAAACATATCTCTCTTCATTAGGCAATAGTACAGAAAAAGACATTTAGGTAATATATAAGTAAATATATGATATAAATGCACATTATAAATCTTGATAATTATATGAATTATTGTGAGGCTTTTATTTTCATTTCAGAATGACATTGGTCTAGGGACAGTAGTGGGATCTGCTGTATTTAATATTATGTTTGTGATCAGCATCTGTGCTTTATTTGCGGGAATGGTAAGTAATTATTGAAATAGCTACTCTTCAAACTGAAGCACCATATACATGAATAATATGTGGCCAGTAAACATCGAATATGAACCAAACCGTGCCAGTGCATTTAAAACACTGTAATTTTTTTCCTCAACAAGATTTTATCTTTTCCTTTCTGTTCGTTCTTCTTGTCCACTGGGATAGATTAAAATGCATAAAATCTCACATCATGCTTCAGTTTTCTTAGAAATGAACCAGATCAGTTTCCCTTATGTGTTTTTTTCGACATTAATTCTTTGAATCTGAGTTTTATATTTGGCAAGTGCACTCATGATCTTTGCACTATTTTTTTCACTGACATTGACATTTGATTTTCAAGACTGCAGGCAGGAAGGAGCGTGGTTACAATCAAACCACTCATTGGCCTGAAAATTTTGATCTAGGTTCTATAAATAAATGCAATTGTGGCAAAAAGTCCCCTTTCTCAGAAAAAAGATCCCCCCCCCCTCCCCCCTCTTTAAAATCACTGGCATCCGCCCTGACTTAAGTGACTTGTAGCGTGTAGTTTCAGATATTTCTTTGTACAGAGTGATAGGAACAATTGAGATGATTGATGGGTAAGTATATTAGACTCTTGCCATTGGGAAATGATCAGATAAATTTGCATGCAGTTGAATTGTGTAGCAATCTCGGAAAACTTGTTCACCTTAATTTCCTATTAATTCTGCTCCATTTTCCAGGGCCTCTTGGCTAGGAACTATCCAGGACATATATCCTGTATTTCACAGAGGTCTTAAACAAAAAAGAAAAATCATAATTGACTAGTAATTTCATTAGTAGTGATGATATTAGTTATGAAAAATGATTCTCGAGACATATCAGGTGGAAACCAATATTTCTTTTTCTTGCTGATACACAGAATTCTCTTTATTTGACCAACAGTTTTATACAGTTAATTAATAAACTTTTATTTTCTTCCAGGTAGTTTACTTAAACTGGTGGCCTTTATTCAGAGACTGTGTTTTCTACACAATCAGTATTATAGCTTTAGTCCTAGTAATTCTTGACGAAGAAGTCAAATGGTAGGTTTTCCAATCAGTTAATTGGTTGAGGTTAATGTTGTTGCAGTGTCCTTTTTGTGTAACTGATTTGCGATGAGAGTTTTTTTTGTGCTTTTTTGATAAATTTGATTTGCCTTTCAGCTCATTTATTGATTAATATTTTTCCTAAGGAAAAATATGGCAATGACTCAATCTTTTCAAAGGGCATAAAATTTTATTCTTTTTGATACACAGTTTTGGAATCATAGAAATTTTACATCTGTACAGCATCCACTGTTCTTTTGCTGCATAAAGTAGAAAGGGTACCTGACTTTTCAGTTTTGTTATTACCACAGTACCACTCAATAGGAATGTTCTTATTTTAAGAATTTATGACTTTAAAAAATACAGTTTCTGTTAATTTTACAATTTCCCCATTGAAACAATTTGTGTTAGAAGAATTTTACAACTGACCTCTCCCCCCCCCCCAAAAAAAAAAAAAAAAAAACCTTTGGTTAATGATGGAGGTTTTATTCTCAGGAAATTGCTTACATTGTGTTATGACATTTCCTCCCCCTTAAAAAATGACAGACCCAAGAAAAAATTTAACTGCTATCAAATGTTCAAAAAGCAAAAACAAAATAAGTTTGGTCTACCAACCCTGTTTGCAGAGATTTGCCAAGGGTTAACCAACTTTTATCAATCTTGTCTGGCCTTAAGGGTAAAGAGTTGAAATTTCCTGGAAAGTTCAATATTTGCTGGTTGTTGCTGTCATATTAGTCTAACACTCATTGTGTGCCTTTTACTCTTTGCTTTATCTCCGATCCCTAACACTGTTTTCTCATCATTTTCTAAGTAAATATATCAGACACATTACTCTAAAATGCAGTGCCATCTGACAAAGCACGTGAAAATGTCTGACCTTTTTGTCTAAGTGAAGCAATGGGGTTGTGCAAACTCACAATAGAAGATGTGTAAATAAGTTATTACATGATTTTCATATGATACTGCATGTCATATGAGATGAAGTTATATTGCATTTTTATATTCATATCGAAGAGCTTTTTGAACTCATTTGATACCACTAAAAATTTATTGAAAATAGTCTTTAAGCCAAATATTTGTGAAAATAGAATTCAAGTGAAATATTTATTGAAATAGAAATATGGTGCCAGCAATATTTGAGAGAACCTAAATATTGTATGGTGGTGAACCACAGTGACTCATTCATATAAAACATATCATTAAATCTAATCTAATCTTTTCACACACATACAATTTTCCATTTTTTCCTGTAGATTCTGGACTTGTAAAAGAAATGCAAATACAGATGTATTTTACATCAGTGCTGTCATCGTTTAAAAAAATTAATTCTTACATATATGAAGAAAAAGAGGGATTGGAGTGTTCAGTTATTTTTTTTTTAGATAATTTTAGAGAAATATTTCTCTGTATTATTCGTAGTGCTTTTACTGTAAAGATAAGACTGCATTCCCATAACCTTATCGTATTAGCAGGTTTGATCTATCTCAGCGGGGATTCTCGCTGAGGTGGAGTCAATGTAATCAACTCAATTGTCTGGCATGCCTCCTTGCAAAACAACATAAACAACATTATGGACCACAAAATTTTCCTGATTTTACCCAAATACTTTGTTACGTGGGGTGTGTGCCAGACATTTAAGCTGCTTAAACTGAATGCAATTTAGCAACAATCCCCCAGGAGTTGGATCGATCCAGTTAGTACTCGGTTAATGGGAACATGCCCTCAAACTTGAGGATAGCTTGCTTTTCAATTTTCAATTTTGTTGTTACCACTCAAGGTAAATGTTATAATTTGATGGATTTATGACTTCAAAAGTACAGTATCTGTAAAATTCACAATTCTCCCCATTGAAAAGATCAAGTCATCACCATAGTATTAGTTTAGATAAGTTGTTCTAAGACTAAATTTTGTTTTTTTACTTTCAACCACAGGTATGAGTCTCTAACCCTGTTAGCCCTCTATGCAGTGTACTTGATCATCATGTATTTCAATCCCTCCCTGGAGGCCTGGGTGAACACGAAAGTCAAGCCCTGTCATGACGGGTTGATCATCAATGGAAGACAGGACCCAGAGAAGGAGAAAATCATTTATGAGAAGCTGGAACTTAAGAATACCGCATCAGGGGATGATAGTGAATCTGACGGAGAAGGTAAGTGTTTTGTTGTGGGTATTTTCATTGTATTATAAAGATTATATGGTTTTCCTGGTGTAGTGTGAAGGATTAGAATGTAACTGTCTTCTCTTCTATGATAAAATTTCATCAGAAGTGCTTGCCAGTAAGAGAGACTTGGATTCACGCACTGTAGTTTATGAAGATTTCCAGCCCATTTCCCAACTAAAACTTCTTGTATTAGATTTAATGCGATGAGACAAAATTGATTTTGATCTCGAGATGTCCTTTCTTCAAAAATGGGAAACTTGGAAACACCATTACAAGGCACCATTACAAGGCACAGTTAACATTAAAATGCCCCATGGAGTGAATAATTCCAATTACCAGAAAAAGATGGATATGCATTTTCTTGGTAATGGAACCTATACCGTATAACACACACATCTCAGTGCTCACTAAACATGTGCCACATTCAGAGGTAGAACTACTGTATGGAGCATGGTAATAGCCAAAAGATTAGACACTGGCTTGGATGATATTCTGTTCATGTGGAAAG